GTTTTGTTATAAGCTAACATTGCACATAAAATATTGAGGCAGGTCATATAAAGGAATAATGATCAGACTTTATTTTCTTCATTTGGCTCACGCTGAGATTTCTTTATATGTTAAAAGTGCTGTTCAAACCCTTATAGAGTTAAAAAATATATCAAAGCTATATTGCCAGGTTTAATCTATTTAGATATCTGATACAAAACTTTGTGCAAAGCCCAGGTCAAGTACATATTCATCACACTAACAAGTCATTTATAGTGAGATTTACGTCGGACCTGCAAGTGTAAAGCTGAGATCATCAAAATAATCTCATATCCATTTTTTAAATAGCTTTTGTTATCATTGAAAATCAAATCTAATGATTGCTACACATGATTTGCCCTCAGAGCAAGAAAGAAACTCAAACTCACCAGCTAAGAGTCTGATGGAGTTAAGAGCAAAGGCAGATGAAAGCATCCATTAGTTTATCCATGGAAGATGTGAAGAGAGGGTCCTCTTTAGGTCTGACATACAGTTTACCAGAAGAGGCATCAAACTGCAGCTTCCAGCTTCGAAGCATCTTTGCCTCTGTCCGATGTCTGGATCAGAGCAGGACTGCACTCTTCCTGCTTGCATAACAAACACTCCAGACAGCTCGTGTGCTGCAGTTGTGGATCAGGCTACTTAACCGGAAGGCTCTCTGCAAATGGACCTGGAGTTGTTCCAGTTCAAGTCTCTCTGAAGGAAAGTGCTGATCTAAAACTGGGCTGCGTATCTGATGGAATCCTTGTTTTTTTTTTTTTAAAAAAAGAAACTATCTCTTGCTCAGTCCTTTTTCTCTGCTTCTTTTTTAGCTGTCAGAGCCGAGCGGTGCATATGCTTGTTTTCTGCCTGCCGCTCGATGTCCTGAGTCACAGCGAGAGCAAGTGAACTGAACTAATTTGAATTGTCACTGCATGTTTGGAGCTGGCTGCCTGCAGGGCACAGTTTCTCTCAGCACGACCCTCAGTGAGAATCAGGGCCGAGCAGAAGCAGGTTCAGAGGTGTCGGCTCAGGAATAAAAGGAGCAATGATGTAGTTAAATCACACACTTTTAATCATTTTACTATCTGTTGGATATCCCCTTTAGAGCAAACACAGCAAAATGACTCACTTCAAATAAGACAAACCAGGCAGGACATGTGGTGAAACAAAATTAGAGTGTGCCGAAAGCAATGAAACAACGCTCACACATAAAGATGGAGGCCGATGTGCGGTATGCTGGTGAGGAAATTGCCCCAACTTGAAGTTAAATCTCTCAGCAGGGTGACGAAAGTGTAAGAGGAGGGATTACAGCCTGACAATTTGAAAATTAGAGCTCCCCATCTTCTGCGCTGGCTCGGGCAGATCAGAGAGGATTACAGTCAAAATGTGGCGTGGTTGCACAGAAATAAAGCAATATCTGCAAGTGTTCTGCAAACCAGTTTACCCAGTGGCTGTCTGACCTACAGATACAAACTGCCCTCATTGTGAGATCTCTCACTCAGGGATGAACATAATTACTGCTTAATTAAAGGTGTCAAGATAAAGCATCAGAAGGTGCACGCAGAACAAACCACTCGAACTGATAAAGGCCTGATCCTTCTCCCACAGCTTATCAAACATGCACGTCACACCCTGACGCGTTCACGTTCTGCTTCGGTTAATAACCCTTGTCGCCTTTTGCATCAGCACAGCTTACAGCAAGTACACACAGAAAGATAGAGGGACTCAGGAAACTGGGTGTGTCTTACACCGACACAACACACTCTCTGTTCAGATGTGACCTCTACTGACTAATTTATAGAACTGCAGTGCTTTGCCTTTCATTTTGGCCACATTGTGTGCAGTAGATCACATAGTGGATTCAACAAAACATCACATAGAAGGGGCTGGCTACTGCTGACATCCTGCCAGAATCCCCCACTGCCCATGATGCAATTATCTCATTTCCTTCATTAAGGTTGTCTCCACATATATCTTGACTGAATGAGAGTCACATTTTGTAGACTAATCCATTTTCTTGGCAACACATATAATTGTGCATTCATTTTGACTATTGGTTATTAAATTGTTTGAAAATTCATGAGAACATATTAAAAAAACATACCAACTTTTTGGATTTTTTTATGAATATATTGATTTAATAAAGTCACTCATTGTGCAACATCAAGTCAATTATTAGAAAGGTCATCCTGAACGACACTAAATGGTGTAATTCCAAAGAAGACAAGTGTAGAATCTCCAAGAAGACATTTAAGAAGAAATATGAGTGAAACTTCTTCTAAAAATAAAACATAAAACATTGAGTAAAACAATTGTGAAGGTTAAATTTTGGGGATTAGTCAGGGTGATGGATAAAACTTGCCGTTCAAAACTTTCAAAACGTTTAACATTTTATATTTTTAGACACTTTTTCTGTTTCTGTCAGTAAACAAACACACATAGTTGGCATTTGGTCACATATTTTGCTTACAAATATTTATTTTATCACACAATAACCATCTATATGAGAAAAATAGTATGGATTTAGTTTCTTAGTACATGTTTTGTCCAATCTTTAGAACACTGCAAGAAGTACCTTTAAATATCCCTTTATTACTGAAATAATGAAGTAAACAATATTAAAAGAGAAGTTTTAAAGCAACTTTTAGTTGCATTTTGCAGAAATAGTGTTGTAAAATAAATTTTAAATAATACTTGTTCGCCACAGTTGATTAAACAATAAATACTTGAGCCAAAAATTCATCAACACATTAATTTTCCCAATATTCTCACCTCTTCCAGCTCCTCCTCCTCACCAGGTGACTTGGCAAAGCTTCTGTGAAAATGTCAAAAAAGAAGCATCAGCAGAGGAGTCCGGGCCACGTGTAACGAGAAGAAATAATACGTTTGTCCAGGTATACTCCACTGATCACAGATGGATGAAACTACGTTGCAGCTAATCTTCCTTTGCTTCTGATCTTCTCCTCTTCTGTTGGATTATCAGTTGAGTTTCTCCTCTCCCCATTTCTCCCTTCGTCATGAGGATAAACACATGCACGCATACTCCACAACTACACTGGGCGGATGTCCACAGAGCAGAGACAGAGGGCCAGTGTTGGCCATCACAGGCTATAAATAGGCTTCTTGAGTTCATCATTGTCTCTTCCTGTGATGGTGAGGAGCCTGGAGGGCTCAGAGAGGGAGGAAGGCAGACCAAGCAGCATCTTTATCTGACCAACTCCCTACAGGATAAACCTTTTCAAGTTTTTGGGGAAGATATTTACTCTGAAGATGAACGTTAATTTTGTGTTTTCCCCAAAAAACGAAGCAAAATAAGAAAATCTTGGCTCTTTTTAATTAAATTGTTTTGGACAATAAATAGTGAAAGACAGCGTGCGCAACATTTCCACTACAAAGAAACAGTTCCCTTCCTCCACGACTGCTAAATGTCACAGTTTACAAGATCACCAACAAAATGTCAGCAATGCTCTTAGTGCAGGACTGGTTTAAATTCTGAGTCTGTGCATGTCGGGTTTGCGCTTGAATTCTGCCAATTTACGTGTCAGAAAGTGTTACATATGAAGCATTAAATGAAGAATGGTTTTCCTAAATGTAGCAGTTGTTCCATCAAGAAATTGTGTGTAGTTTAACATGGAAGATATCGTCGATCTTAAATGAAGAGCAGACGTTTTTTTTTAAATGAGAGCAGAATTCACATTCAAAAGTCTTCTCCTCAAATAATTAAAAAAAAAGAAACAATAAATAAATCTGTCTGTGCACTTTTACAGGGTAACAGCATGAGGCCCCTGCACATGTTAATGTCATGCTATAGCCCAGAGAGGCCAGTATTTGTAATGTATTTGTGTATGTGTGTGTGTGTGTGTGTGTGGGGAGGGGGGGTGTTTTTAATGAGGACTGATTAGATTCAACACGGTGGTACAGTTGTTGTAGCTGCTGGCTCCCTGTGAGGTCGCCAGATCAAATCCTGGCTGGGGTCCTTTCTGGGTGGAGTTTGCATGTTCTCTTCGTGCATGCGTGTGCTTTCTCTGGGTACTCCAGTTTCCTCCCATAGACCAAAAACATGCACGTTAGGCTGATTGGTAACTCTAAATTGTCTCTAAGAGTGAGTGAGAGAGTGAATGGTTGTTTGTCTCGTTTGTCTCTATGTGTTCCTGTGATGGACTGAAGACCTGTCCAGGGTGTACCCCGCCTCTCACACGGTAACTGCTGGAGATGGGCACCAGTGACCCCAGCGACCTAAAAAGGAAGAATCGGGTAAAAATTATGGATGGATAGCTTATAGCAGGACTATTCAGCTAAATTGCTCAGAGAGCCAGACATCCAGCACTTATTGTCATTACGTAAGTTTGTTTTACGGTATAAAATCTAGTTTTATTTAAAAATGAACCCATTGGTGGGCCGAACTGAGCTCACCTGTGGGCCTGATTTGGTCCCCGGGCCACCAGTTGAATAGCCTTGTTTTGTTTTGTTTGTTTTTCTTGAGATGAGGCTGTATATTTATAATTAATAACAAGAAAGAAAACACATAATTGTGTAAAAATCGTCCTGCAGGCAAATTATAAGTGTGTTAAATAAAATATAAATAAATAAATAAAAAGCAGACACAAATGTTATATTTTAAAATCATTAGAGGTTTCCAGTTTAATGACATTGAGCAGATGATGCTGTGGGGCCTGTCCTGGGTTCTGTTGGTTCTGTTGATTTGCAAAAGTATTGTGTGAGTAAATCATAAAGCTGTAACTACACTTCCTTTACTGTTTATTTCTGGGTAACTTCTTCCTGCTGTTTCAGTGATTTCACTCAACAAGCAGTTCATCAGACTCTGAACCGTCATGTTTGTCTCATCCCTCCCTCCCCATCACCATATTCACCTCCCTTTCCCTCCCTGCTCCTCTGCGTCCTGACTCCTCCTTCAGTTAAAACGGATCTACTCAGAGCCTCCCTCCATTTCTCCTCATCAAACACATCTTTTCTCACCTCGTTCATCTTTTAGCCCACAGAGTGTAGCAGCCTTCCACTTCAGGACAGGTAAGATGGAGAGCCAGCTCAGTAGACTTTCAGACTGTTTCTGCTGGAATGTTATTTTAATTTAAAGTTAGAATTGATTAAAAATGAGAATAAATTGATCTAAAATGAAAAGGTTTGTGGGCCTTTAGACTGAATTAAATCTGCATCAGTGTGATCATAAAGTTAACCTGGCAACATTAAAACTAGTACTCCATGCTTGTTCTTTTAAATGTTAGGGCTCAGATTACAAACTTATTTTAATGAACAGATGGAAGTTTAGTTTAAAAATGCATCATGGAACCAATCTCTACAAATATGTGTTCAGAACAGAGTTTGAAGTAAAAAAAAAATATATATATATATATAGTTTTTATGTTGTTAAAGCGCAACACACATTTAAAAATCATCCCTTGGCACCTGCATGGCAGAGTTTCGCAGGATGTGATTACAACACAGAATGAAGGGCATTTCCTGTTTATCCACAGAAATCCAGAGATAATTGCCTGCATGCTTATTCTGCAGAACCAAACATATCATGATGTCACTATTACTATAAAAAAGAAACAGTCACACACAAAAAATAATAATAAGGAGGTGTCTGTGCAGAGTCTGTTTCTGTAGGTTGGTTTGGTGCTATTTCTGCAGCAGCTACTTTGCATTTTACAATATTTATCTGAATATCTGCAGCAGCCAGCAGGTTGAACATCAGCAGAGAAGGAGAAAGAGCAATGCATCAGAGGGAAACTGGTTTTCTCCTTTTATAGACATTGCCTCAAGTGTTGCAGATGTTCTCTTGTCTGCTGAATGACACGTCTGAGCTTCAGATATACAACAAGTAAGAAATGTATACACGCTGCACTCCTGTGTTTGCAGAATGCCTTTCGGAGGAGGAAACAAGTGCGGCTGCTGCCAGAAAACCGTCTATTTTGCTGAAGAAGTGCAGTGTGAGGGGAAGAGCTGGCACAAATCCTGTTTTCTGTGCAGTAAGTACTGCAGTTCTCAATAAATCTGCTTTTCATTTTCAATGACTCCTTGAAAAAACACAAAACACCACAAAGGAATTCAGAGAATTTGGCCCCAGCTCTGGAATGTGAACATCTCCAGGTCTTCACTCAGGCATGTTTGACCTTATTTGGGTCTTGAGGAAACAAAGGTTTGGTCCTTCGTTTATGGCTGTGAAAGGTTTCACTTAAAAGAAAAAAAAAAAAAAAAACGCCCCATCCAGCACAGATATGAACTCATTTGACTGTTTTGTCAAACTCACGCTTTAATCATAAATTCCTGAAAGCTAATACAAGAAAAGATGACAGATTTTGTTTGTTTGTCTTTTGTACTTTCTTTGCTGGAAGTGGTCTGTAGGAAGAACTTGGACAGCACAACTGTGGCCGTTCATGGAGATGAGATTTACTGTAAATCATGCTATGGCAAGAAATATGGTCCAAAAGGCTACGGTTTTGGAGGTGGAGCAGGAACGCTGAGTATGGACACAGGAGAAGGACTTGGAATCAAGCCTGAAGGGTGAGCAAAATATCCTCATCTTCTCTCTAACTAAGACATTTATAAAGGGTGGAATAGACTGGGAGGGAGTTACAGTAATAAACGGCGATGGCTAAATGTTTCCTGCATACAAAAATAAATACATCAATAAAAACTCTCTCAACAGACAAGCTCCTCACCATCCTACAAGTAACATCAACTCCTCCAAGTTTGCTCAGAAAGCTGCAGGATCCGACGCGTGTCCTCGATGTGGGAAAACCGTGTACGCAGCGGAGAAGGTTATCGGAGGAGGCAACGTGAGAAACATCTTGTGATTCATGTTGAACACAGGATCCAGAGTTGTGATTTGATGCGACATAAGTTTTCATTGTTGTGACGGAAATTCTTTTCATCTTCATCAGTCGTGGCACAAAGGCTGCTTCCGTTGTGCCAAGTGTGGTAAAGGCCTGGAGTCTACGACCCTCGCTGACAGGGATGGAGAGATCTTCTGCAAAGGTTTGTTCCTGCCAGCTAAAAATGAACGTAAATGCAAATGAAACTACAATGTTCTGTTTTTAACCAACTCAT